AAAATTATTTTTTAATTGACATATATTGATTGTACATATTTATGGGGTACAGAGCTTTTTTTTTTTTAACACGTGCAATCATCTAAACATGTTCTTGGCACTGTTAATAGAAGGTTGGGATATTCTTTGGTGATTGCAGTGAAATGCTATATGTCCATATGCCATTTTAACTGATATGTTTGTTAGAACTCAGCTAATGGAACTCAAAGTATGGGATACAGAAGTTAGTGACCCACATATTGTGTAAGTTAAAGCAACACAGATACTCTTAGGCAAAATTTTTTTGTGAATAGTACTTGGAAAGTTTGTAAATTAGCAAATTACTGAAGTTAGTGACCCACATATTGTGTAAGTCAAAGCAACACAGATACTCTTAGGCAAAATTTTTTTGTGAATAGTACTTGGAAAGTTTGTAAATTAGCAAATTACTTTTTTCCCAGTGTTTTCTCCAGAGATAATGTGCTATGTTTTTGTATATACAATAATATTTGCAACTGTGAAAAACAAGTTGTGCCATACTATACTATTTTAATAATATTTTAGTAATAAAATATTTAAGACTATGTCTTTAAAACTTAAAGACTACTGATGAGATCGGTAATGATATTAATGAATATGATTCTTTGATATTATATAACAAAATGTATAAACATTTGAAAAATCTTGCGTAACTCAGTGATCCAGTTTTTCCCCAAATGACTAATTCATGATGTTACAAAGTCATGCATGGGAAAAAGATTCATTCAAAGTGCAAGACAGACCAATGGATTTTAATGTAGAAGAATATGAAAAATTCAGTGATGTGGTTTGAGATTCCACATCATAACTAACCTTTAAGAAACTACCACTTGTTAAGTTTGGGTGTATATCAAAGAAGAATATTCACAGTGATCTGAAAATGCTATTGAAATATTCCTTCCTTTTCCAACTTCCTATCTCTGTATGAATTTTCTTCATATACTTCAACTAAAACAACATTTCTCAACAGATTGCATGCAGAAGCAGATATGAGAATCCAGTTGTCTTCTATTAAGTGAGATGTTAAAAAAATTTACAAAAATGTAAAATAATGTTATTCTTCTCGCTAATTTTTTGTTTTGGAAAATACATTTTTTATAAAAAGATGTTAAATATAATAGACTTATTATTATTATTCTAAACTAATAAACAACTTAAAATTTTCTCAGTTTTAATTTCCAGTGTAGTAGCTATCAATAGACCTAACCCATATATACAAAAGTTCTTTGGAGATGACAACAATTCTTGAAATAAAATAATTTGAGAACCACTGGGCTATAATAACTCTTCAAGTTCTTACATCTGTAAGTGCTTGTCAATAGAGTTAGGAGAGTCTCAGGACTTCTAGTTGTTGCAAAAACTTCAGAATGTTGTCTCTCTCTTCAATTTAAAATTTAAAATTTTATTTGTGATACATATATCATTAGTTCACCTACACATACCTGAAAATGATAGTATCGTTTTTATCTCTTTTTATAGTGAGTTGGAGTTTTCTTAATATTTTATAAGTAGCATTCTTCATAACTTCTGTAAGAGCAAAATTCTAGAGGGCAGTCTGATCACTTTATTTTAACTCTAAATAGTCATATTGCGTATTACCACTATCCTAGAAAAACAAGCCTGATTATTATTAGAAAGATACATGGTGACCTTTTTAGCTTGTGTTAGAATCTCACTGACTAGGCTAGATCAAGAATATGACTGTTGCTGAATGCTGTTTTCTTATATAGGACTGTCATTTTGATATTGATAACATCAGTCGTTTAAACAGATTTAGTGCATCAATACCTTAGCTCACAGATGATCTATATTTTGAATAGTAGCTTGGTTAAGTTTTGCACAATTGCTTATTATGTTGTTTAGTATGGATGTTGGGGATTAGGGTAAATATATGGATATATATTTTTCTTTTGTGCATGGGAAAGGAATTTTTAAATTGGGGAATATATAATAAGAACAAAAGAATTTTTGAAGACTGAACCCACACTTTGAGACAAGAGCTAACCTTGCCTCTTTAGCTGGAGTGCTTTGTTAAGAGTGGTATTGGAGTTGCCACACCTCTTTGTAAAGTGCTAAATATGTGTAATGGTAAACCTGTTATTAGTTTGTTGATACTGTATTTTTGACTCTTCTAGCATAAGAGCCATATGTGGATGTTTAGGAGAGACTGAAAATGTTCAGAACTCAGACCTGAAACGCAGTCCTCAAAGAAGTGCTTCTCTTGTAGGTTACCATCCCACCATTTCATGACCCTTTGAAAAAGGCACAATATGACAAGGATGACAGAAAAAGAACTCTGCTTCAGTGTGAGACTGGTACTTAGTTCCTAATTGTTTTGTGATTTCATAGCGCAATAGCAATGGCATTTGCATTTAAGGATGCTAATCTAGATTACTAATCTTCCTGCAGGTAAAATATATACAATGAAAGAATTTAAAGAGATTGAGAAGACCCAGCTGCATTCCAGATTCCCAAGAATTTCTAATTCAAGGCATTTTATGACTCCAAATGAGTGGCTTAAACTGCCTACAAGATACATAGAAAGTGAATTTTGTAAAAGGAGCAGGTAATGGTTAATATAATAGAAACTCTAGAGCCTCTTATACTTTGAAAATTCATTCTTGAGACTAATATAAATTTTTTCATAGTTATGGTTTTTTAAAATTTTCGTTTTTCAGTGAGAAATCTACTATAATTCTTATCTTTGTTCCTCTGTATGTGATGTTTCTTTTTTCTCGGGTACTTTCAAGATTTTCTCTTTATCTTTGGTTGTCATTAGCACCTGGTGTGGGCCCATGGAGAAGAGCCTGCAAGTAAGTGTAAATTCTCCTTGTATGTAGGCCCCCCAGTTTTCCAAAATGATATACTAGCCCATGCTAACTTTGAGAATTCATTAAGATTTTAACTTTCTTTCTTTTTCTTAATTAATAGGCATTTTTTAAAAGAGGAATTTTAGGTTTACAGAAAAATTGAGCAGAAAGTACAAGGAATTTCCATAAACTCTCTCCTTCCCCTTCTCCCAACAGTTTCCCCTACTGTTAATATATTGCATTAGTGTAGTACACTTGTTACAATTGGTGACCCAATACTGATATATTATGCAGCAGGTTCACTGTGCACTGATTACCACTTCAGCCCATTGCATCCTGTGCTATAACTTCTACTGCTTGCGTGAGTCTGTGAGCCAGAACATTCACACAACGAGTTAAGTGAAGCAAATCTGTTACTCACAGATATGCATCAAGGACTGTAGAAGCCTAGGATTCATGGCAAGTTGGTCTCCCAAGACTCAGGAGAGTTGCCCAAGGCTGACAAAATCTTGTCTGCACATGTCACACTTGCACTGCAGCTAACGGACCCTGAAAGCAGGCTGCCCTGGGTTTTATACCCTGGGGTAACTTGATTACCAGGCTAAAGTGTTATGGGACATCTTGTCCCATCCTATATAGAGATCTGAACCCATGGCCTTGGTGTTATCAGCACCACTCTCTCCCAAGTGAGCCATCCCTGGGGTAACTTGATTACCAGGCTAAAGTGTTATGGGACATCTTGTCCCATCCTATATAGGGATCTGAACCCATGGCCTTGGTGTTATCAGCACCACTCTCTCCCAAGTGAGCCAGGGCAGGCCCTCATTGTTGTTTAAATTTGCAGTTCCCCAGTGGGATTTGATGTTGGTCATCTTTTCATATACTTATTTCCCATCTGTATATTTTCTTCATTGAGGTGTCTGCCATTAGATCTTTTGCCCATTTTTAAATTGGGTTATTTGTTTTCTTTTCTTTTTTTGAAGGCTGGCCGGTACAGGGATCTAACGCTGGACCTCTAACCAACTAAGCCAACCGGCCAGCCCAGTTATTTGTTTTCATATTATTGAGTTTCAAGAGTTCTTTGTATATTTTGGATATAGGTCCCTTATCAGGTATATATTTTGCAAATATTTTCTCCCAGTCTGTGGCTTGTCTTTTCATTTTCTTAATAGTGCCTTTTGCAAAGCAAGTTTTTAATTTTAATGAAGTCCAGCTTATCAATTTTTTTCTTTTTTTGCCTTCTTGTAAGGAAGCCACCTTTTTTTCTTGTGCTCTACCAGAGGTAAAGCAGTTTGTGTGTCCTGTCTCTTCTTCAAGGACTTGTCCTTCTTTGAAATTTAGTTTATTTCTTTGCCTTAAGGTCTGACGGGCTCAATAAAAGTTACATTTTGTAAATTATCTGGCCCTTAGGGTGGGAGCAACATTATTTGATATCCTAATCCCAAGTCCTACATCCTAAATTGAAGCAGAATTAAAATAAGTTCCTTCCTTCCTTCCTTCCTTCCTTCCTTCCTTCCTTCCTTCCTTCCTTCCTTC